CTGTGTGGTTCCATCGGCCGGCGATGCTCCATTGTAGCACCCGTGAGTTTTGGGTGTCAGAGGATGCGTTGCACCATCCGTAAGGTTTCGTCGGTCGGCAATTCTCCCTTGCAGCACCCGTGAGGTTTCGGTGTCAAACAATGTTCATTGAAGCATCTGTGAGGTTCCATCAGTCGGCGATGCTCCGTTGTAGCACCCGTGAGGTTCCGACGTCCGACGATGCTCCGTTGCAGCATCCGTGAGGTTTCCTCAGCCGGCGATGCTCTGTTGAAGCACCCGCGAGGTTCCGACGGGCCGACGATGCTTCATCATAGCACCGATGATGCTACATTGCAGCTCCAATGATGCTCTGACAGCCCAGCGATGCTCCATTGTAGCACTTGCAAGGTTCAAGCAGACGGGCGATGCTCCGTCACACGAATGGTGATGCTCCGACGGCCTGACGATGCTCCATTGTAGAACTCGTGAGGTTCAGGCAGACCGATGATGATCCATCACACCAACGGTGATGCTCCAACGGCTTGAGTGATGCTCCATTGTCTCACTGGCGAACCCTTGAGCACTCGGCGCTATTCGATGTCCCACAAGCTCGTGTCGCGATGCCGGCGAACCCTTGCAGCACCAGATGCATAATGGCTCGTGAGCTCGCGCCACTTGCAACATGGTCGTCACTACTAGCCGCCGTGCTTGCAATGCCGGTAATACCTGAATCACGAGTGACCCCTTGCAGCACCAGCCGGAGCACGTCCCATGAGCTTACCGCACGCCGCTTTGCAGCATGGTCGGTGCCGCTCGCTGCATGGCTGCCCCTGGCAGCATCGCCCACCGCATAGCAGCAGCAGGTGCTGGCGTGGTGCCGCTCACCAGATGTCCCGTGCAGCCGCGGTGGTGGCCTAACGCAGCATCGTGGCCTCCGCATCACCATGGGTCGCTCCTTAAAAAGCACCAGTGGCCCCTTCCCTTGTAGGGGCATCGAGCATTGTCCCTTGGAGCATTGGCAGCGAGCAGCCTTCCAGCAGCGGGCGGCACAATGGTTCGCTTGTAGCTTTCCTGGTGGTGTTTGCAGCAGGCCGCGATGGCAGTGCATAGCGTGCTACTGGTATTCAGCTGCGGGTGGGCGACAGCAAGAGCTAGTGAGGAAGAGATGCGGTGCGGATGTATAAGCTAGCGACGTACGGTGCGGGGGCATAGGACACGTTGCTAACAAACTAGGCGACTTACGTTTCGTGTAACATCAGTCGGATGAAACAAATCGTTTACCAGAGATATATTACGAGTCGGCGCACCGTAAATATGGCATCCGATTCAAGCTCAACACGGCAGCGACGGGGTGGTGTATCAATGAGCTCGTACGTATCTTGTTAAAAAAAATATGCCCTAGAGGCAATAATAAAGTTATTATTTATTTCCTTATATCATGATAAATGTTTATTATTCATGGTAGAATTGTATTAACCGAAAACTTAGTACATGTGTGAATACATAGAGAAAACATAGTGTCCCTAGTATGCCTCTACTTGACTAGCTCGTTAATCAAAGATGGTTATGTTTCCTAACCATAGACATGTGTTGTCATTTGATGAACGGGATTACATCATTAGGAGAATGATGTGATGGACAAGACCCATCCGTTTGCTTTTGCCTTATGATCGTTACAGTTTCATTGCTACTGCTTTCATCATGACTTATACATGTTCCTCAGACTATGAGATTATGCAACTCCCAAATACCGGAGGAACACCTTGCGTGCTATCAAACGTCACAACGTAACTGGGTAATTATAAAGATGCTCTACAGGTGTCTCTGAAGGTGTTTGTTGGGTTGGCATAAATCGAGATTAGGATTTGTCAGTCCGTGTTTCGGAGAGGTATCTCTGGGCCCTCTCGGTAATGCTCATCACTATAAGCCTTGCAAGCAATGTGACTAATGAGTTAGTTGCAGGATGAAGCATTACGGAACGAGTAAAGAGACTTGCCGTTAACGAGATTGAACTAGGTATGATGATACCCACGATCGAATCTCGGGCAAGTAACATACCGATGACAAAGGGAACAACGTATGTTGTTGTGCGGTTTGACCGATAAAAATCTTCATAGAATATGTAGGAGCCAATATGAGCATCCAAGTTCCGCTATTGGTTATTGATTGGAGATGTATCTCGATCATGTCTACATAGTTCTCGAACCCGTAGGGTCCGCACGCTTAACGTTCGATGATGATTTGTATTATGAGTTATGTGTTTTTGATGACCGAAGTTTGTTCGGAGTCCCGGATGAGATCACGAACATGACGAGGAGTCTCAAAATGGTCGAGACATAAAAAGATTGATATATTGGAATATGTTATTCGGACACCGGAAGAGTTCCAAGTGGTTTCGGGTAAAAATGGAGTGCCGGAAGGGGTTACCGGAACCCCCGAGGAAGCAGTGGGCCAATATGGGCCATAGGGGAGAGAGAGGACAGCCCACATAGGGGAGTCCCCCCCGGGGAGTCTAAATAGGACAAGGGAAGGGGGCACGGCCCCCCTTTCCCTCTCCCTCTCCCTCTCCCTTCCTTCCCCTCTTCCTCCAGGTGGAATCCTACTAGGACTTGGAGTCCTAGTAGGACTCCCTTCTCCTGGCGCGCCCTGCAAGGGCCGGCCGGCCTCCCCCTCTCCTCCTTTATATAAAGGGGGCAGGAGGCACCCGAATACACAACAGTAGTTCTCTTAACCGTGTGCGGTGCCTCCACCGTAGTTACACACCTCGGTCATATCGTCGTAGTGCTTAGGCAAAGCCCTGCGTCGGTA